ATTAGTTAGCGTTCCTTCAGTATTCATGGAGGTGTTAATAAAACATCAATACAACAGCAGGCGCTGAGTGGAACTGCTCAGAACTTCAGCAGACACTAAGGAGGCCAGGTAAATGAGTGGAGTGGAGCAGCGCTGTAGTGAAAGAGGAAAAAAGGACAAGATGAGACTGAGCTGACGACCATACAGGCGTTTAATCATGTGAACACATCTGTAAATATTTCACAGCTTTCTGATGTAACTCAACAGTTCATGGCCAGGTGGAGTGTATTTGAGCTTTGAACTCTTGTTCAAATATTTAATAGTGGAATAGTGGTAATATCAGACATGCAGAACATCTGGATTATAATAACATCACTAGACAAAATGGAGGCAGCTAGGTGAGGAGGTAAGGGCCCAAACATGCTATGATGTTATCTCTGATTGGCTGAGGAGGAGGAAGCAGAGCTGTGATGTCCAGCATAGAGTGTAGACTATTCTAGGTGTGCAGATGTGTCTGAAAGTCTGAAAGTTTGTTTTGAAACCCAATATTTGTTCCACAAAATTGTCATTTGATTAAAAAATGCACAGAAGCACCTGTTTATTTTTGCTCTCATTAAATTAATATGGTCTATACAAAATGGAAAATGTCCCCATCATACATCTTCCATGGGCTATCCTCTTGTCCTGGATATCTGGTGTTGTATGGCCTGTATGTGCATATTGTATTGTGCATAAAACAGGAATCTGAGGCTGTCATGGACACGGGCTCATTGAAACTGGACAGTCGAAGATTAGAAAGAAAAAAAAATGCCACCTGGTCTTTTTCCAGTCTTCAACTCTCCAGTTTTGGAAAAATCCCATATTTCCATACAAAATGTAATTTTGTGTGTGTGTGTGTGTGTGTATACCCCTTTGTTAGTCTTTTGTCCTTTCATCTCGCAAAGTTGTGCATGTATTATTTGCAATTCTAAGCTGGTTTTTTTTTTTTTTTTTTTTTTTTTTTTAATCGTCCTACTTCTTGTCCTTCATGTCTCTGGTGTTTTCTGGTTTCAATCTCAGCCTGTTTGTTGTTGATGTGATTCGGGATTTGTCTGTGATTACTGTGTCTGCCTGTAAGATCATGACATAGATTATTAGAAAATCCTAAATGAAATTGCATTGATGCATCACAACTAGATTAAAAAGGGAATCTATTAGATGCTACCTTGCTCCTACAATCACTGGATAATTTATTTAAAATTAAACATACCATATAAGTAACTCTGCAGGTGTGTAATGGTTGAATGAATGCCTCTGCATAATTTGTCAGCCCTCCTCCACCCTGTCCATCAGTAAAACAGATTCGTTCTGTCAGTATGATTTACAATATTTTAATCTTCATCAAACCATTCAGTGAGCTCCCTGTGGATGTGGGCGGGGTCATCCTGGAAGAGAATCAATTAAGATGATGATCAATTAGGAGAACTTTATTGATTTGCAGTGATGCTTCCTTCTAAGAGGAGAAGTGATCCCAAGCCATGCAAAATGTCCTCCACAGTATAACAGCCACCAGGTTTCCCTTTAGAGTCGCCTATTTGTATAATGAAACATATTAAGACCAGAATATCCAAAAATAAGACCAAACTATCCTGTGCTCAACTTTTAGTAATATTATGTTCAACACTCATTTCCTAAACAAATATGGCACTTTTGTCACTACAGAAATGATCTGAATAAACAAACATAATTGACATTTTAAAGTATGTGATAATTTCCTAAACATATGTTTAAAATTTTTTTTTAAAAAAACATGCAGTGTCTCTATAAATGGATTATTAGACATACAGCTGTGCTTTTTTTTTTTTTTTTTTACACACTTTGTTATAGAATTTTATTTTATGACTTCTACATTATTGATTCAGTACAAAAACATTTTAGATTTGCAAACATTAGTTTTCCAGCGCAGAATTAAATGTTACAGAAAAATGTTTGTATGTCAGTAAAGAAAGCAGCATATTATGTAAGACCTCATATTATGACCTCAGACAAAAAACATAATGAAGGCTGCTGGGTTTTGCTGCAAAAATAAGAAGCAAATGCGACAGTCAAAGTCTCCAGAAGAACTGTGGCTGCTTCTGCAAGATGCTCAGTAACACTTACAGCTCATTTCCTTATAAAACTGCACACACTGTACCTGAGAATACTAATTCTTTTTTTTTTTTTTTTTTAGGGCAAAGGGTCGTCACACCAAATATTGACTTTGTTTCATTTATTACTGTTTACTGCTCTTTATAGTATTTTTTTAAATGTAGAAACATTTGATTTTTTGAAGGCGCCTTTGCTCTACAGCATTTTGCATGTGCCTAAGACTTTTGCTCAGTACTATAAGTAGACAACTGACACTAAGTGAAGTAACACTTTATTTCTGTCACTGAATCTCATTGTGTTCCAATAGGCGTGTAATCCACTACATAGGGCTTAAATGATATTATGTTATACCATATCAAGTGCAGTTATATAGTTAATAGGAAGCCATTTGGGATTTGCTATAAATTTGTGTTATGGGCAGGTCAGAAATGTAGAACCTAGCTACATATCAGTGATGACAAAAACATTACTGTGGGTAAATACATAAAACCAAATCTGAAATATTGGAATGCAATGATAAAATGTTGATCTTGGTGATATTTTTAGTTTAAGAAAGTGACATGCTTTTCATATTTTGTGTTTTAATTGATACAAACGCATAATGCAGGGCTACTGACAATGAAATAATATAAATTTTAAAAAATTGTCTGCCATTTTTAAAGGGATTTGACAGCACTGGTATATACTAAACTCTGTCCTCTGTGCTATACTCTATCAACGCCTAGCTCATGCTCACTCTGGATTTCTGCTCCTCCGCAGTAGGGAGCGAAGTGCGGCTAAACTACCCCATTAAATAAGGGCCCTTCATTTAAGATTTCAGAATCAAATGAGACTGAAATGAAAGATTATTTTTTATGTTTTATTAACACATTAAGTTCATTATCAATCTCACCTGGGTTGTAAAGAGAGAGAAGCTCTAGTTTAGTGCTACACAGAGAGCTCAGGGTCCATGCCCCGTGCGTGTACATGTGTGTATATCTGTGTATGATCGAACATACAGTATTGGTGTCTTTGTGGTCAAGTGTGTGTGCTGTGCGAGTATCCTGGGTTTTTCCCTGTGAGTCCATGTGTAATAGAGCTGCTTCTATGATGTGTGTGGGTTTGTGTGTGCGTGCGTGTGTGTGTGTGTTTGCTGATAGATGCTGCATTCCCTCTCCGCTCCGAATTAACAGGGTTGCTAAGAAACGGCGGGTTTATATTAGATCAGCTTATCTGCTTTTATTGCTGTTACTATATTTTCCCTCAGCACCGTGCAGCCTTTATTCATTTGGAAATTTACCCGAGCCTCAGATTAAAGGAAAAGCTGTGTATGAGTGTGTGTGTGTGAGTGTGAGAGAGAGACTGTGTATCCCTTCACACCATCCTCATCCTCCTTTACCTCTGTGACAAAGAGAGAGATGATGCAGAGTGGTAAGTTGGGGTAATCTGTAACCTCACAGCTACTGGATGTGTTTCATTCCCAAAACATTCAGGAGATAGGAGACCAAACACCTCATGATGTTACATCTGATTGGCTAAAGGAGAGGAAGCAACACTTTGATACATCTAGTTTCAACCTTTTTTGGGTGTACAGTGGGGCTCACAAACCTAAAGCTGGCTTTACACTGTATGAATTTTCTGCCTGATGTTTCTGTTGTAGAGAGAACATGCAAATCATAAAGGAATTCCTTGGTCATGAGTTGAGATCAGCGGTCTTAGAACACGTAATTAGCTGATTTATTGCCTTTGTGACCATAGACAGCTGATAAAGTTCTGGCAGTGTCAGATATTTTTGATTAAAATAAAAAAGAAAATGTGTGATCGCTGCTACGATGCTCATCTAAAAGCCACCACAAGGAGGGCAGCATAGGATGATGTGAAACCCAGGACAGCTAGTAATGAAAACGAAATATGTTAATAGAAAGAACAAAATATCGTCATTACCTCAAGCTGACTGTGAAGAAAGTTTCTGTTTGTGAGCCTGTTTTCGACACCAGTCCAGATTGCACCAACTGGTGATGTAAGCAGAATGTAGTATCTTTCTGTAATCGCAGGTCTATCGTTAGGGGATCGTCATTATATAATCACACAGTCTGTTATAGAATTTAGCCATGATTTTACTGGGATCATCTTGTACTGCGTGACAGGTAATAATCTTAAAAGACTGCTGAAATCGTACAGTGTAATATTGGTTTACTTGTTATTAAACATTAAGTTAACATTTCACTGAGTGTCCCCTTATTCAAGAATTCGTTATGCAGAAGTGAGTCTGAGGGTTTTTTTTTTTAAAGGTGTGTAAGAAATATGAGAATTTCACATCAACAACAATTCAAATATTGCAAATCTGTTAAATAAATAAATAAATAAATAAATGATTAAAAATAATTAGGATTACATGTTTTTCCATGAATAAATTTAGTAAGTTCTGTACTAATGTAATTCATGTAAAAATAGGTGGCTAAAACCCAAAGTGAGCATTTGAAATTTACAATTACTCACAAAACAAGAAAAAACAAGTAATGTGTACTTGAACAATTGGATTCTTGTGTACATCTATGCATGCTGACCCGAAGAGTGCCATGAGGTTGCTGCAGTGCTGCACGTGAGTTAATAATTTTTTCTGTTTTCTTCGCACAATTTTAGAACAAGTTTCAAGTTAATACAATCATATAATATAATTATTCTACATACACTACATGGCCAAAAGTTTGTGGACACCTGACCATCACACCCATATGTGCTTGTTGAACATCACATTCCAGATTTAATCCTCGCTTTGCTGCAGTAATAACCTCCACTCTTCTGGGAAGACTTTCCCAGAAGGTACGCTTATATGCTTTAAATTTAGTGGGAATGGTTTGGGGAAGGCCCACATATGGATGTGATGGTCAGATTTCCACAAGTTTAGATTGAATGTGTTGGTGGCTCAGTGGTTAAGACTTTGGACTTGTAATCAGAAGGTTATGAGTTGAAATCTCAGCAATGCTAAGCTGTCACTGTTGGGCCCTTGAGCAAGTGTGTTAAACTTCATTTGCTCAGCTCAGTTGTTGCAGGAGGTTTGTTGCAGGAAGCAAATCAGTAAAATTTACTCAAACGAAAGAACAATAGAGGCTTGATTTACTTGCTTTATTTGTGCAATATTTACCCATTTCAATCAAGTAAAAACAAATGCAAATTGTTGCCAGTTTTTTTTTTCACTTCATTAAGTTCTTTTTTTATTATTATTTTCAACAGTTGTATGCCATTTCCGCTAACTTGCCAGGTGAATAAGTCCATCTACTTTGGATACACACATATTGGCCATTACGTGTCACTCTTTAGGAATAAAATTACTGGCTGTACCCCATCTTTGCTCTGCCTTCCTCTTCTCTGTGCTGCAATGGAAAGAGATTGTTATAGACACTAGATTTCAGTGGTTGACCAGAGAGGAGTTATTACTTTATTAGACATGCCTGGTTATCAATTCATCTTTTTAACACTCAGTGTGTTAACTGTCCTCAACCCATTTATCAGTCTGGGTTTCTGAACACAGCAGCATTGAGATTTTTGGTTGGTGAACTGCAGCTGTGTTTAAAAAAAATCGATCAACATTGCTGCACCTGATACACTCATACCATTATGTTACACACACACACACACATACACACACACTACCATATCAGTGGACAGTGCAGGACACAGAACTGATATAAAATGAACACGCTCTATCAGCTGTGGAATGTCTGGCTAACACACACATACGTACTGACTGTACCCTGTGCTTGCTGTTCTTCAGATAATGATGATTATGATGATGATGGTGGTAGTGGTGATAATGATGTTGACAATGATTTGAATCTGAAAGTGAAGACCACAGCATTGCACAGGTTAAAGCATTTCTAACGCATCCAATTCAACTCATGTACTCATTAACACAGTCTGTACGAGCTGAATCAGGTGTGTTAAAGTGGAGCAACACACTCCAACTGAAGTCTGACACTCATGAGCTTAACTAGTCTGTGTAAGAGAAGCAGCCAGCTATTTAATGCGTTATGTGTCAGTAAGTGTGTGTGTGTGTGTGTGTGTGTGTGCGCGTGTGCGGGTGCATGTGTGTGTGCATGCACGTGTGACAACGTGTCTAGAGAGTCTGGGTCGTGTCTAAGGTCAGGATCCTCCATCTTGTCCTTGTTACTGTGCAGATGGAGAAGCAGCAGGAAGGCACTTAGTGAAGTGCTCACTCTGAATGCGTCTTGGACGAGACCTGCGTGTCTGTGCTACGCTGCCCAGTGTGAGCTGCAGCAATGCCAACATGCAGTGTTTATTCTCCTTCAGATAAACCCTTCATTTATCTAATTAACACTATTCTCTAAATACCATTTCAGCTCACAATAGAATCACATTTGAAATAAAAAAAAAATCAAATACATGACATTCATAACTATAACTCAGCAGGGTATATTGTATATTATACCACACCACTGTTGAGGTGCTATAACGTAAGTGATAAGAACTAACTAGTCTCACAGACATTCCACAAAAGTATGATTTGTCGTTCATTAATAAATTAAAAAATTTTAATTGTTGGCAAACTGCTGTGGTGTAAGAGGACTAAACCCTTTGGGACTTCATGTATCCATTTTGTGTATGTTATTTAATTTTGCGGTTTTGGGTTTTTTTTTTATGCTTAGTTTTGCTATGTTCTGTTTGAAATTGCTGTGAGCTGTCAGTTGGCTTGCAAATGTAACATTCAAAACAAATCGAGCTACAATTTATGTAACATATCCACCTTATTTTAAATTGTGAAGGTCTTAAGTCATAGTCTCACTTGCTTTTTTTCTGGGCTCAGGGCCGTTTGAGCCCTGAATTAGGTAAAATTGGTGAAATGTGAACGCTGTTTTCAGGCCTAGGAGCGGTCCAGAGAGCGTGTTGAAAACTGTCATCTGGGGTTCGCTTCAACAGAGCACCAGAACAGTCTGCATCAGGTGTGGAAGCTATTCGAAACTTGGAGCCACATGCTGAGTAATGTGATTTTGTTTAATTTTTCATGACTGTTTCTACTTTCATGATGCCAGAGAAAGAGATGTTATGGCTATTGATATATAAAAACAGACTTTCATAGGACTGGAGCACTGTAATTTGCTCACTTTTAAGGTACAGGTGCTTGCACTGAGAGCATCACAAAAATGCATGTCTTGTGCTGGCCTACATAGCTAAAAATCTTCTTATACCAGCTTGTTTGCAGGTGTTCCTGCATGAGGACATGCCATGCAGCCCCTTTCTTTGCAACTTATCAAAGGAAAACTTTGCAAACCTGCGTGCACAAAAGTGAGCCATGGAATTGCTCAATCCACATTTTGGAAATCCATGTTTCTATGTGAATGCAAATCTGTGATTATGAGCCACTGCCCCAAAGAAGTCCAGAGTCGATCCTGAATGTGGACTCGAGTATTCGGACCAAGTGTGCTCAACAGATTTAGCTAATATCAACTTCCCCAACTAGGAAGATAGTCAAGCTATCAGTTACATCAGAAAACACAAACTGTTTAAAATAATTCATTATATCGTTTGTTATTCAGTGACAACAGTCCAGACAACAAGTAAAGTCAATGTTTAAAGAATGTAGACAGTGCTTAGAGATTATAGAGGGTGTTTGAACATTACAGACAGTGTTTAGAGATTATAGAGAGAGATATTAGAGACAAACACCATATGTAATGTCTCTAATGTCTGTAACACTCTCTTTAATCTCCCAACAATGCCTCTAATGTCTAAACATTCTCCACAATCTTCAAACACTGTCTTTAATGTCTAAACACTCTCTATAATCGCCAGTGTTTGAAGATTATAGAGAGTCTTTAGGCAGTAGAGACTGTGTGGAAATTATATAGCGTGTTTAAACAATAAAGACAGTGCTTCGAGATTACAAAGAGTGTTTATACATTACATACAGTGTTTGGTGATTAAAGAGAGTGTTTAGAAGTTAGAGACAATGTTTGGAAATTATATAGTGTTTAGAGACAGTAGAGACATTAGAGACAGTGTTTGGAGATTATACAGTGTTTAGACATTAGAGACAGTGTTAGGAGATTATACAGAGTGTTTAGGCATTAGAGACAGTGTTTGGAGCAAATGTTCAGGAATCATGTAGAGTGTTTGGACACTGTAGACAGTGTTTGGATATTATAACACTAGGTGATTAAAGAAAGTGTCTGATTACAGAGCATGTTTGTTCAGTTCATCTTCTCTTGTTCTCTTCCTCTCCTGTTCACCATTTTGTGTTGTGTGCAGTGCTTCTGCACAGGACGACATTAATATTCCTTTGAAGAATGTTTCTGCCACTCTCTCTCTCTCTCTCTCTCTCTCTCTCTCTCTCTCTCTCTCTCTCTCTCTACTGCAGCACTCCCAAGCTCTCAACAATTACTACTGCTGTTGAGAGGAGCATTGTTAGGAATTCCCCTCGCATACACACACACACACACACACACACACACACACACACACACACACACACACACAGTTCTGCGAGGTGCCTGGTGATTGGGTTAATGGCGGTTCCTGCCTTCTTTAAAGAGGAGTGTGTGGGTTATTTTTAGCTGAGGGAGTTAACAGAGAGAGGAGGCGAGTGGTACTGCAGTTCCTTTAATGCAGCATGCAGTGTTTCAACACTAGGGCAACTCTCTGCTTCTGTCATCTTACACACACACTTTAACCCAGCATTATATTCATATTCCTTCAGCAGTATATGCACATATTCATCCAGGGCTTAGAGGTGTGTATTTTTAAAGAAAATGTATTACTCATCTCAGCAGTACAATGAATGAAGTACATTTGATATAATAATCAGTTGTTTGAAACCTTTGAAAGGGGGTAACTTTAAGGACCGGGAGGCCACGCCTTTGTATTGCAACTGACAGCCACAATGACCCAGGGCCGTGCAGAGGAGCGGATGCTCAAATTTAAAAAGTAACCTGTCAAACTAACTATAGCAACCAATAAAGAGAATATCAAATGGAATCTGATAATAAACCACATCATACTTTTTAACTACACCTTAGAAGATTTTGGCATTTATTTATGTATTATTGTAATTTGCAATTGAGTAATCTTCAAATAATAACTATCCTCAAGTTGTTGGAGAGCATGATCAGCTGGTGTACTTCAACATTGCTGTTTCTTGTCAGTTTCTGCTGGGGCTATAAGCAGACAAGAATGCACACCAGGAAGCATTTTATCACTAAACACATGCTGTCGAGGCTAGTTAGCAAAATGATCAGAGAACTAGCCTAAAGAATCAGGCCCACTATATTACTGGCTAGCTGGCTGCTATACTACTCCATGACTTTCTGATGAAGTGCAATACATAAGCCCTCAACATAATGTGACAACAAGCACACAGGTGAATGATGACCTGACTGCTTTGAAATAAACAAATGAATCTCACCGTCTTTTAAAGTCTCACAGTAGCAGTCTCTGTATGGAGTTCACACATGGCTCACTTCTTGTGTCACATCAGATATTATAATGGCTCAGATTGTAAACTGGCAGGTATGGAGAACAAGAAATTACTTTCTGTTAGCCAGTGTCACTCACTGGTCCTTCTTCAAATTCACAAGTACTTTCCAGCTGGTGGTTGTGTGCTTTATGTCTATTGGTTAATGGGTCCTTCTCTTGGAGAAACAACAAACTCCTTGTTTGGAGAAACCACAAACCTATGGCTACGGGCAACTTCAGCCTTTTGCTTATGAATGGCAGGCCTTTACCAAAAAGAGGCACAAAAAGGGGCATCATGGCCATTGAGGGGAAAAGGAAAGCCCACCCTGCTACTCATTGGTATTTGGTGTCATTGGTATTTTGAGTGTTCAGTGTTTTCCAGCAGGGCTTTATTATTGAGTGAGGAAAGCAATATAGACTATGATGTTTGCAAATTCTTAACCACTTTCACAACCTTCATAACTTTTTTTGCACAGTATGTTTAGGGATGGGGTTTGCGAATGTACCTTTTCTTATG